CCAGCGTGAGCAGCCAGCAGCCGCAGTGAGTGGCCGTCCAGAAGCCGGCGACTGATCTGCCTCGCCAGAGAAGAGCGCAATGATGGTGCCAACTTGGGCAGTGAAGCAACATCCTCCACAACTAGATTGAAGAACAACAACAAAAAAAAAACGACAGCAACTTGTCTGTTCCCCTTCCCCCAATTCCCCAGCTCTGTTCCCATCCCCCCAATTCCCCAATAAAAAAAAAATCTTTAAAAAAAAAAAGAAAAGAAACTTTCCTGTCCTGCTCAGTGTGAGAAACACTGTCCTCAGCACAAAAATACCCGGAATCCCTTCCTCACCTATAACGTGGAAGGACAAAATCTATCGCTGGCCTGGTTTTGACAGCCAAACTGAGGTTGGTCAATTGAGACAAACATCCCATCTTCACCTGTGGTGTCCAGATAATGGCCTCAGTGTTTCACAAACCACAGACCACCCTTCATCCCTGAGGCCACATTGTCACTGAAGAGCACTAAGCTATCTGGACACCACTGCCACCTGTGATCATTCTGTCAACAGCTCATTCCGTCACTTCCCCTCTTCCCACTGTTTCTCTGGCCTTGAGAGTCCCCTGGCCCCACTGCTGGAGGTAGGAGTTCACTAATCATCCAGATACATACTTCCAAGACTGTGTCTCCAGCTCTGGCTCTTCACTCTTTCCATTCCCAATATGCACGCTCTTGGCCATGTTGCCAACACCAAATCAAACTGAAGCTTCTAGCCCCTGCGTGTTTAATCCAGTCTAAGAAGAGCAGCAGTGATCATCTTCCTCACAGGCCATCTCAATAACTTCCACGGCCAGGCAGTAGCTCTCCCTACCCACCCCTGAACTGCATCATCATTTTGCCTTAAGGCCCTCCATCATCTGATTCCCTTGCGCTACACTTGCCATCTCCCACAGGACTCTCCTACCTTTGCAGGGCCATCCACCATCACCACACCCAGGGCTGGAAGTATTCAAGATTTTGCCTCAATTCATTTCCTCTGTCAGGCCTTTTCATAACCTCCACTTGGCTCCACTCATGAGGGCCACTTCATCCACAAGATGTCCCCTTGTGCACCTATCTCTCTAGCTGGGATTGGTTAGATGCACACTTCCATGGCTGGATTTACAATGACTGATTTGTGCTCAACTCGGCTGCCCTGCCTTCCCAGAGAAGCGTCAGAAGTCTCCCTAGGACTGTGTGTCCCACTAATTTCAAATGTCACCAGTGACCTGGGATGTAACAGACGGAGGTAAGCATTACTAGCTGGCCCAAAATTCATGCACCACGGATTTTTCAAGGCAAAGTCACAGAGGGCTGAGTGGCAGACATTTGCCCCCTCTTTTCTAAATGCTCTGGTACCTTCCTCATGCTCCACTGGAGACTGCATGTGTCTTACAAATAGCCTCCTGGCTCTGTTCGAATCATTGCCTCAGAGAATGTCCACTCCTCCTCCCTCTACTCAGGCTCGAAGCCCCAGGTTGGAGCCCTTTGGCCTCGAAGCTGTTTTCAGCTCTCTGCCAGCTACTTCCCCCCACCCCATGGATTTGTCAATTCATTTAGCCTCTTGACAATTCCCAGCCCTGCCTCAGCCCAGCTGTTTTCAGTTCCCTTTTTGGTCTAAATCCCGGGCTCAGGGCAAGGCCTTCTCCAATGTATCAGAGCTTCAGTCCAAATTACAGCTCTGGGTCTCCTATTTGCCTCTAGACGTGGCTCAGAGGCACATCTTTGACCAGAACATCTGCAGTGCTCTTTGCACAGCCTTCAAAGGTGACACGCAGGAATGAAATTTTTACGCTGCAAGTAGGAGTCTGGAGGGGAGACACACGGATATCACTGCTGCCGAGAAAGACTCATTCCTCCTGGCCCTTACCCATCATCCCAACTCCATGCCTCAATACCCACCACCATCTCACCAAACACAAACCAAGCAACATTTGGACCCACATTCATTTCAGGCTTTTTACCTGCTTGTTTTAAAACATTACCAACTCCTATGCAAGAGCTTATTTGTTTTTGTTTCTACTACAAGGTATCCCCCACAAGCATATCTCACTATATTTGTTCTTTCTCGTCCTGGGGATGTATAAGAATTTTATCCTTTAGTTCTTCTAGAAAAACGAAGTTATTCTATGAACAAAGCTAACCATTTAAGATTTCTCATTCTCCCTCAAGTTTGTTCTTATATCTTTTTGTCTCCTCCAATAGCCTAAAAGAATTCAAGGCGACTGTCACTGAACAAAGTGTGTGACACAATGACATTCATTAAAGTGGGGCAAGAAAAGAAAGAAAAACAGTGTTAGGTACAAAGTAGCATCAAAAAGGCAGCTAAAAATGCTTACCAGCATGACCTGTACACTTTCTGTATCAAACTGTGTATCCAGTATGGGTGTACAGACTTCCCTAAGTCTCAATCTAGGTCAAACTAACCCTGAGTGGAGAATGGTGTAAAGAGTAGATTACATTAAAAATTACCTTCCAGTCAAATCAATAAGGATTTATTAAATAGCTATTCTTCTAGTGGAGCCACTCAAGAGTGTCTCTAGGAAAACGTAGTCAGAGGGTCTCTGGCCACAGCTGAGCAGCATATGGACACTGAGCGGGTGCCAACCAGGGAGGCAGGAGGAATGAAGAGCCCTTCTTCCCGTCACGGTTCTTCTCCCTGTTACTTCCCAGAGGGGATGCTCTTAGTTCTACCTTGGACCCAAAGGACAATGTCACAGAATGCTATTTTATATAGCTTTTCATTCCAGATAGACGTCCTTTAAAATAAGGAAAAGAAGAGATTTTAAATGAAGACTTACCTCGGCTATCTTAATTTCCAATCTAAGCACCGACTTCATGTCATGTTCTGCACGGGAGCTATTAGCTCCCAAAAGCACGGCAGTATCCACCATGAACTTGTAAAGGGCATCCCGATACTGTAAGAGATAAAGAGGAACGTGAACATGACCACAAGCTATTAGGAAGTATGTTTCAGGGAGAGAGGGGAGCAGAAACAGTGGGTAGAAATACATTTTCACTTTCATTTCACTCCAAGGATGGTGCAGGCCATTATGCATCACCCACCACCCACCTACCACCTTGGGAGAAAGAAGAGTGATGGTTACTTGCATACTCTTTCCCGGAGAGACAGAGATGTCCAGCCACCAAGAATCAAGAGAACTAGTTTTGTGGCAACCAGCAATATTATGGATGCATGAAACATCTCCAAATGAGCCAAGAATAGAAAGTCAAAGGTCAGGCTCCTCTTTCCAGCCAAGAGAGGCTTTAATAAAATAATGGGAAAGAGCTGTTGCTAAAAGCAGGCGGCATGATCCATGAAGCCTAGTGGGAACTGTGATTTATTCTCTTCCAGCTCAATTTACCCACCTTCACACTGAAAAAAATAAAAGGCCAGCAACTGCAGCCCTATGTCTTTTCAGTTTTGTATGGTTTTTGCAAAATTCTCCTTATTACCTCAGGGAAAAAATAAGGAAGAGATGAGAGAAATGATGAAGTGAAACCAAGCAAATGGCAAGTATAGAATTTCTTCCCTGCATGTTCATAAACCCATTGTCATGATATTCATATGCCATTGGAGGGGGGAACCCCATTTTGTAGGAATTGAGGAATCTCATTGGGGGGGTCCTCTCCGCTTTCACATATACTTGTAAGAACTCAATATACCAGGTATTAAATTATCTCATAGTTATGCTGTGGGAATAAGATTTCCTAACATACATCTTGATTCTGTAAGCTATTTTTACTATGTTTATGACCTCGGGGTCTATATAGTGGTTGGCATGTAGTAGGCCCTCAATAAATATTCGCTGAATCAGTAAGCAAGCTTTGCAAACAGTGTTAATTAGAAACAATGTTTTGCAATTCCCAGTTCAATTAAAAAAATATTCATTTCATCAGTACATGTGCAAGATGTCTTACTAGTCATTCTGTGCACGGGCGGGGTACAGATAAAAAATGAAATAATGCTTGAGACTGGTTCCCAGTATGTGATCTGGCTCTCAGTGTGTGAGGGAGATATACATGTAATTTCCTTAATAAAGCTGCTAAGTGCTTGAAAACTGAATAGCTGGAGAAGAATTCCAGCCTGGAGAAATCAGGGACATAGCATTTGAAGGTGACAGGCTCAGGAGCAATGAGCAGTCCTGGGAGGTGTACAATTCTGCCTTTGTTGGGGGAGGAAGAACTAGACAACACAGCAAAGGTGGTCTGGGACCAGGCCATAAAGAGGCCTTGAACTCCCTCCAAGGAATTTAGATCCTAGCTTTTGAGCAAAAGTATGATGGAAGCTGTGCTTTGAGATGAGAATTTGTCAAGTGGTGCTGGGAGGCACTGGCATGAAGGGAAGAAGTAACAAAAGGCTGTCTGCTGTAGTCAAGTCGGCAGTTACCAAGGATGTAACCTGGGGCAGTAAGAATAGAAAGGAGGGACCAGGTGGAAGAGAGTGTTTGAAGGTAGAATCCACAGCACTGGACTGATTGGTGATAGTGGGGAGAAGATTTCAAGCCTTGTTGCTGATAGGGTGGTGATACCAGCAGAAACAAAGGTGCCTCCAGATTGACAAAAGTTCATTCCATCCATTTTCAAGGAGAATTTGCCAGCCTTCTTTGATGAGTGTCCTCAGCCAGAAGGTTGCCTAGAATCTTGGCCAGCTTCCTGCCCTCCAGAACCTTCTAGAGATAGGGTCTAGTATAAGCAAAGGAGCAGGGGCTTCCATTGAGCCAGCACTTCCCAGTCGAAGTCCCTGCATTCTCAGGCTGGGCCAGAAACCAGACTGCTCCCTGGTCGAGGAGACCCTGTGTCTGAGGCTCCTTTGGAAGTACAACAAAGTTTCCAAAATGACTTAAAGTGTCAGGAATGAACCAGCTCTAATCCAATAATCAAAAATCTAGGTTTCCAAGTTAACCCAAGGAGTGTAACCTGATTGATCCCACCTAGTTCTCATTAACCTGGCACACCTGTTAAAAAACAGATTCTTGGGCCCCAACTTCAAGTTTACCAAATCAGACTCTCAGGGCTGTGGCCCAAGAATCAACATTTAATAGAAGCTTCCCAGGTGGTTCTTAAGCAGTACAAGCTGAGAACCACTGGTCAACTGTTTACTTCTGTAATGTCTAGTGAGCTCTCTGCACTTCTGAGAAATGGCTGCAAGGTCACTTCTTGGTTACTTCATCATTTGGGTGTGCTGTCTCCCCAGTTTAAGCATGAGGGCACTGAGCAGGGGGACTTGTACAGCCTTGATGCCCAGACATCCAGAAGACAGGGAGTGCCATTTATCTGCCTGAATAAAAGACCTTTGCTTCCTGCATTGGGAATATGGTCATCGAATAGCCACACTGCTCATTTCCAGTAAAGAGTTAGAAATTTTAGAACATATGAACCCAACAACAGCCTGACAAGGCACAGAGTTGAATATGAGTAAAACTTACAGACTTGGCTTCTGTGCTATTATCAAGGTAGTCTTCCCTCACGGCCAGGGAGAGCGTCGCTTGGTCCAGCTGTTGAAACAAAACAGAAAGTATTCTACTTGCACTGTAAATTTGTATATACCATGTTAAAAAGAGTCATGAGCTCTGCATGCCAGCCATATTTTGAGCTTGTGTCACCATTACCAAAACAACTCACTGCACTCAGACCTACATGCAAAAAGATACTTCAGCAGTGACAGATATTATAAAGCTTTAGAGGTCTGCCCCTGCTTCCTCAATTCATGGTTTTGAACCCTTTTGAGGTTCTAGCAATACTGAACAGCACCAAAGCTATTTCAGTTGAAATAGGTCTTAGAGATTGTCTGGATTTTCCCCTTAATTGATGGGTGGAGAAACAAGTCAGAGAAGTGAGGTGCCTTTCCCAATGTAACACAGATGGGCAGAGCTCAGAGGAGAACCACTGTTTCCTTTCACCAGATTCAGTATTCCTTTCATTGCCGTGTTTTCAAAATGTTAACCTGGATGGAGTTAATTCATCTGATGTCCTACCTCCCCACCCCTAAAATACTGTGTTGCATTGATTTATCTTATCTGAAAGGAATCAAATAATTTCATTTTGGGACATCTTAGCAAGTCTTAGAATCCTCTCTTCAAAGTTTAGGATAGGTGATAAAAATACAAATAATAGGCAGCAAAATAACTAGAATTATTACTATAGAAAAGTATAGTATTATTTCTTGACTTAAAACTTTCAGCACCTTAAAGGCAATCATAAAGAAGATAGTTTTTTCAAAGAAGGTGCTAGAAAAACTGTACAGCCACATGCAAAAGAAAAAGAAAGAAAGAATTTCAACCCATACCTCACACATGGTATAAAAATTAACTCAAACTGGATCATAGGCCTAAATGGAAAACCTAAAACTATAAAACCTCTAGAAGAAAATGTAAGGGAAGTCAGACGGAGAAATACAAATACCACATGATCTCACTTATATGTGGAATCTAAAGAACAGGACAAATGGGCATAAGGATATGAAAGTTCGAGGAATATAATTAATAATGTTGTAAAGATTTTGTAGGGTGTCGTATGGTCACATGTCTTGTTAGGGAGACCACTTCATGAATGGGGTAGAGGCTTGATCACTGCACTGTACACCTGAAGCTGTATGTCAACTATAAGTGAATATAT